TAAAAAATAAAAATTGAATATGGTTTCTTTAAGAGTGTTTATGTCAAAATCATACAAGAATATATATGTAATTTTACCCCCATATATATTAGTGGGAACCGATGAGTTTCACTACTACTTCTGATCTCTTCCCTACCAGTTTCCCCATTGACTTTCTGGGGAAGCCAGCAAAGAAGGTCACAAATGGTGATCAGATTATATCACAGGGCACTGCAACCAATCGATTGTATGAGCCAGTTGCCAAGTCGCCAGATCACAGGACCACAGAAGTGAGATACAAATAGCCCTGCACTTATTGAAAATAAACAAAGAAAAAACTAAAATAATGGTAAAAAAAAAACACCTTACAGATAAACAGAGAAAGGAACTGACAGAGAAAATAAACCTTCAGAAAGCAAAGAAAATGAAACATTTAGGTATCCACTTAACAGCGAGATGTGCAACAATTAAAGATAACTACGCAAAATTAATGCAACAAATTAAGTTGGATTGGGAGAAATGGAAGAATTTACAACTATCAATGATAGGAAAAATAGCTACCATAAAAATGAATATATTACTGAAGCTACTTTTCTTATTTCAAACAATACTGATAAAACTAGAGAAAAAGTATTTTGAAGAATTAAATAAAACAATTTTGAAGTATATCCGGCAAGGGAAAAAAGCAAGAATAAAATTGAAAATGTTAGAGGAGTCTAAAGGCAACGGGGGTTTTGGACTACGAGATTGGGAGCTATACTATCAGGCATCTGTACTTACATGAGTAAAATAATGGATACATTTGAGGCATAGAAGATTATTATTACTGGAGGGACACGCTCTTCAATTAGGATGGAATGCTTTTTTATGGTATGGAAGAAGTACTGTATATGGATATTTTCAAAGACGTGAGGAATGCTTTACTCTTAGTATGGGAAAAAATCAAATCATAAAACTATAGGAAAATACCAATCTGGCTTTCTACAATGGAAGCATTGATACATCCAAATCTTGTTCATTTGAAAAAAAAAAAAGTACTTTATAAAGTCTTTCTAAATAAGAATGGTGAACTTAAAACTAGATAGGAATTACAAAACCAACAGATTCTTTCCAACTGGCTACACTTCAAATTACAATTTGTATAGGTCTCTCTGAAACAGTCTCTGACTGGGATGGTTGCATAGAAGATGAAGATGGACTGTTTGTTTCTGAGGCTGGAGTAATATTGTCAGTAATTCCCATATACGCACAGTTATTGTAAAATTCAGCTTTTCTCTCTTAATTGTGATTGTTCTTTATCACAGAAGTGAGTCGAATCTGGTACTCAAAGCTCTGTATCTGTGGGCCCAGTACCTACTGCTGAAAACTCAGGGCAAAATAAGATATGATTGAAGACAATAGTAGAAAACCATTCCAATTCAGAACTCTTGTAGATAGATTTGTTTTTCAGTGATGAATGGCAAGGTATAGACTCTTGGGGAGTCGTCCCAGAGTTAGGATCCATGCTGGACAGCTGATAGAAACATTTCGATAGATTGTTCAAACTGATTCTCAGGGCCCAGTTGTAATAGATCAGATAAAAATAGATAGTGCTTGCAGCAGCATAGAATAACAGAGTTGGAAGGGACCTTGGAAGTCTTCTAGTCCAACCCCCTGCTTAGGCAGGAAACCCTATACCATTTCAGACAAATAGTTGTCTAATATCTTCTTTAAAAACTTCCAATGTTGAAGCTCTTACAATTACTGGAGGCAAGTTGTTCCACTGATTAATTGTTCTAACTGTCAGGAAATTTCTCCTTAGTTCTAAGTTGCTCCTCTCCTCGATTAGTTTCCACCCATTGCTTCTTGTCCTGCCCTCAGGTGCTTTGGAGAATAGCTCGACTACCTCTTCTTTGTGGCAGCCCCTGAGATATTGGAACATTGCTATCATGTCTCCTCCAGTCCTTCTTTTCACTAGACTAGACATACTCAGTTCCTGCAACCATTCTTCATACGTTTTAGCTTCCAGTCCCCTAATCATCTTTGCTGCTCTTCTTTGCACTCTTTCTAGAGTTTCAACATTTTTTTTTTACATTGTGGGGACCAAAACTGAATGCAGTATTCCAAGTGCGGCCTTACCAAGGCATTGTAAAGTGGTATTAACACTTCACGTTGTCTTGATTCTATCCCTCTGTTTATGCAGCCTAGAACTGTGTCGGATTTTTTGGCAGCTGCAGCACACTGCCAGCTCATATTTCAATGGTTGTCCACTAGGACTCCAAGATCCCTCTCACAATTAACTCATGTAGATCATCAACTACAGACTTATTCTCAAATGGTTGTATGAAGATTGTGCTACATTGACCGCTGGGTGTTTATTTTTTTCTTTTGTATAGTTTCGTTTTGGACTGAAACACTTTTTTTATTTATTGAGGATTTTGTATTCTCAGAGGGTAGTCTTAGAAGCATTTCAACAGAGGAGCAACTAGAAGGAGGTAAGCTGTTAGGAGACCCAGCTGAGACCATGGCTTACTGCACCATAAATGTAACTATTTGACGGTTGCTTAAGATCAGTTGTGTTTCCTCTGGGGAGACAATGGCAAATAGCTGCGCTAGGACTTTCTCATTTCCAAAAAAGTCACTTGAAGCTTGCATCTTTCCTTTAATTAAATCCAGGGTATTTCTTTCCTTGGGTTTGTCCTGTTCTGACTTGATGTTAAAGGAGTCCTCTGTTTTACACATAGTGGATGGTTGTGATTAGGAGCTCTGTAGTCTTGTGCCATCCTCCCTCTTTGGCTCTCCTCCCAGTATTTAGCAAGGGCTGGAGACAGCTGTTATAAAGAAAGTATTGGCAGAATATGAAAACTGCTTAAAAAGTTCTTAAGTCTGAAAAGCAGAAAATAAACTGCCTAAAAGGTAGCATTATCCTTTTAGATCCGTGTCTGCCGGGAAGGCAAAAGATTTCTCTTAAGCGCATTAGAGCACACTTTACAACAAAGAAGTAATATTGCCTGTCTGTTGTGCCACCTGCTCTCCTTCAAAGGAGTTTCAGCAGCTTGAAGCAAGATCCCGTGTCTCTGCAAAATTAGTTTTCTCTCATTGGCTTCTTTAACTGGAAAGAAATCTCTGTAGTCCATGGGTTAGAGCAGGGATGTCAAACTCCATTTCATTGAGGACCACATCAGGGTTGTATTTGACCTCGAGAGGGAGGGTGGGCATGGCCAGCTCAATGTCACTCATGTCGGGGGCACCTGTGATGGTCCATGCACGCTCTGCCAGTGAAAACAGTGCTCAGGAGGGCCGCACACTGCGGGCCAGTCCTTTGCTGTTTCCAAGGCGGCCCCATGAGGCAGATTTAAGCACCTTGAGTTTGATACCCCTGGGTTAGAGGTAAATTTTGAAACTTACGAGCTGCAAGTTAGTTTCATAGCTGGTTTGGAAATATAGTTTTACATTAAAGTCTTTACTTCATCTTTTTTTTTCATACTTTCACTGGCTGATTTCATATGTTTACTGGCTGATTACATGTAGCCAATGGCTGTTTGTGCTGCTAAAGGGCAATTCTTAGCAACAAAATCCAGGTCTCCATTTAAATTACTTTTAGTATAAAGAGCAATCTCCCTTCTGTCGGATATCTGTGAAGTAGATGGGTCTTAAAAATTGGATAAATAGATAAATAAATAAAACCTCCTATTAGAATTTCAACTTCAGAAGGACAGTCATTCAGTCTAATGGGGAATAAGAATTAAAAGTTAAAAAAAGAGAGGAAGAAGGAGAGGAGACAATGTATTTAAGATGGAATAAGTCTTTTTATCTTTGATTGCCCAGAGGCCATTTCAGTCTCATATTGTTTGGGATTTTGTCTTTGCTGAATCTAAATGTCTGGCTTGTGCTTCCCTTTCATCTTTTTTTCAGGTTCTTCTTTTGTTCCTGCTTTATAATTTTGTCCCCTTGATTAGCATTCTAATACTCCAGGATACTAGAACATTTTATTTCTAATTATTTGGGTTTTTAAAAAAAAATAATTTAAATATTAATTCTACTTGCTAAAAAAATAAAAATAAAAGGAAGATGAGAAATTGAATAAAACTAAGAAAAATACTAAAATTACTCGATTAAAAGTAAAAAAAAAAAGAACTAAAAGGAATGGAAAACCAGGAGCTTAATAAAGAGCTATCACTGTGTCCACCATCTTGTGTGGGAAAGGTTGAGGGGCTGCTGCATTATTTATAAACTATAATGTTTTGACTTCAGTTTTTATACCAAACTAAATGAGTTGGGTCCTTTCCTGGCAATCTTACTGACCTGTTCATGTATTTTATTTTTAAAAGGTATGGAAGTAATTTTTCCCTTCCCTTTTTTCATTTTTATAAATAACTCAAGGTGGTAAACATATTTAATACTCCTTGCTCCTATTTTCTCCACCTGTGATGAGATGCTTGGGCTGAGAGTGTGACTGGCCCAACTCACCCAGCTGACTTTCATGCCTAAGATGGGACTAAACTCTCCTGGTTTCTATCCTTGTGTCTTAACCACTAGACCAAAGTAGCTCTCAGGTTGTTGTCTTATTTCAGAATTTTTTTTGTAAAGAAAGAACTTCCCAGTCTCATGTATTGCTCTGAAAATTTCTGAAAGTTGTTCATCCTAAATGCCTTTCCATCAACCAAATTTGATCATGTGCTGCCATCTGCTGTGACCAAAAACAAGTAAATCACATTATAACTTAGCACAGAGGTTTTCAAACTTGACAGCTTTAAGACTTGTGGACTTCAACTCCCAAAATTCCTCCTCCAGTGATGCTAGCTCAGGAATTCTGGGAGTTGAAGTCCACAAGTCTTAAACTTGCCAAGTTTGAAGACCCTTGACTTAGCAGAATGTGTGAATCAAGCCTGTGACTGTTAAAGCTAGAGTATATCTTTGCTATATATCTGTGGGCTGAATGTATTTCCCAGTCATGTTGTATGTTCTCCCCATGAAAAGGTCTACATCACTGTGTGTAACATAGCTTCACTAAATAGAAGCATCACTGCTTCTTTTTGCAGAATGATCAAACAGCTTTGCATCGGGCGACTGTTGTAGGGAACACAGATGTTATCTCGGCTCTTATCCATGAAGGGTGTGCCCTGGACAGGCAAGACAAGGTAACAATTTCAGCCAAGGTCCTCTCTTTGTGACTTTTGGTGTTCCATCCAAGATTGTGCCATCAAATGTTAGTAGCGTATTGCCAAGTTTGGTTATCCAATTGTATAGCTTTCTTTAAAAAGCAAGCAACAATTCCCCACCATCCAGTCAGAGCTGAAGAAGCTTCTTGGATAAGAAGGGAAATGTCTTCAAAGAAAAACTAGAAAGTCCAGTTGCTTCTTGAAAAATGAAAAATGCACCTTTGGGACAACCATGACCTGGATGACTGAGAATCTCCATAGACATCAAGAAGCAAGGAGCTTCTACTAAAAGGAGAAGAATAGTAGCAGTAGAAATAATAATAATAATAATAATAATAATAATAATAATAATAATAATAATAATAATAATAATAATAATAATAATAATAATAAAAGACCCGGAAATTGAAATTGAAAGATTATAGCATAAATCTGCCATAATGATCTCATGGTTATTGGCATACTGAGTGCCATATCCAAAAATCTTGGCGAGCACTTGGAAAATCGGTGCATTAAATCTGTGCATGGACAACATTTCCATCTGTCAGTTGCAAAAGGCCACACTACTTGGATCCACACATATACCACGCTGATACATTATGACATCCTAGGTTCTTGGGAAGAACTCAATGTGCATGAAGGCCCATGCCAACCAAAGAACTGGCAGCTGTCATTTCATATTTTTGGGAACAAATAATAATAAAAATAGGAAATAATCTGGTTCAGTCACCCAATCTCCAAGGCAGAGTGTTTAGAATGTTCCCTTCATTATAGCAAGGTTTGACAAGTGGCATTTTTTTGGTGGTGATTCCCAATGCATGTAAAATAAATAATCTTAATTATTTCTATAAAATGGCTGTTTTTCTGTTTTGCTCCCCAGGATGGAAACACAGCTCTTCATGAAGCTTCTTGGCATGGATTCAGTCAATCAGCTAAGCTGCTTGTTAAAGCAGGAGCTAATGCCCTTGCCAGGAACAAGGTGAGCTACACACCAAAAAGAGTTTTTCAATTCTTGTAGTGTTGACAAAATACACACAATAAATAAGACATCAATTTTTCCTTATCAGTTGCTTTTTGCAATGACGTTTTCTGAGTAGTGGTAGTACATTTCTTTTGTTTTAACTGACTGTGTCTCAGTTGTTCTTCATGAACACATTTTTGTGTTAGTTAGATTATCTTGATCGCTGAGACAGTTACATTTCATTTTGGCTGAAAAGACTTTTAGCATTGCATTCAAGGTAGAAAAAAATTTATTATAGTAGGAATATGAATTGGGACAACAAGGAAACAGTGAACAAACAAAAATAAATTTATCGGAGTTAAGCACAAAAGTAGAAAAGCAAAGGAAAATTGACTTGATTAATTTCCTTCTTGATGAAGCATTATTGTCCCAGTTTGTGATTGTGTTTCTGTTGTTCAGTTAAAAGCAGAGTTTCCATTGATTGTCAATACTTGAGTCCTGTAGCTTTGACTATATTCATCTTGTTAGGTTCTATATAATTTAACAGCTCTGGCAGTGTTATTCTTTCACCTTTCCTCTCAACCCTTATAGTTAATACACAACTATTCTCCTTTGAAGTGCTTTTTTGGAGCTCAGGAAAAGTAGAGGTTTTTTATTATTCTTATAATGCATTGATGCCTTATCTTATTATTAATATAATTGGAAATGGGCTTTGTTGATAAAAACTTGAAAATTGTCCTATGTCATAAATAAAGGGAAAAGTATCTATGTATACTTGCTAGCAGACAGCAATGATATATAGTATGAAACCCCAAAGATAAAATTGACCTGGAAAACCAAGGCATATGTGAAGTCCCCTGTGCATCATGCCCTGCCACATACATTGGACAGACCAATGGAAGAATAAGTACCTGCCTGGATGAACACAAAAATGCAGTAAAAAATCCAGAGCCCTAGCTAATGCCACCCACAAACCCAAACTATGGTTAAGATACATCGATGACACATTTGTGATTTGGCCCCATGGAAAAGAAAACCTAAACAATTTCCTAACACACCTAAACAGCACATATCCCAAAATCAAGTTCACCGTGGAAATGGAAACAAACAAACAACTACCATTCCTAGATGTACTAATCTACAAAAAAACAGACAGCACACTAGGACACACCATATACCAGAAGAAAACACACACCAAGCGCTACCTCGCCCAATCCCACCACCACCCAGCACAGATAAACTCCGTGGCCAAAACACTAATCGCCAGAACCAAACGCCTGGCAGACAAGACACACATAAAGACTGAACTATGCACCCTGACTAAAGTACTGACAGCTAATGGCTTCCACAAAAGCAAAATCACCAGCTTGATCCACAAAAACACACTGAGACATAATGGAGACCTTGAAGATGAACAGACCTATGGAACAGGCCTATGGAACAGCTGTCCTGCCCTACATAAGAGGTACTACAGACAAAATCAGTAAGATACTACACAGGCATCACATCAAGGCTGCCTTCAAAATAGACAGAAAAATAGCAGCCATCCTAAGAAACCCCTAAGATAAAATTGACCTGGAAAACCAAGGCATATCTGAAGTCCCTTGTGCATCATGCCCTGCCACATACATTGGACAGACCAACAGAAGAATAAGTACCTGCCTGGATGAACACAAAAATGCGGTAAAAAAGCTGGAACACACTTAGTCACTAGTCCAACAAATGAAAGCCACAGGTCATAGCATTGACTTCAATGGCACCAAAACCCTAGCCACTATAGAAAACCCCAGCCACAGAATTATCAGAGAAGCCATAGAGATTGAAAAAAGACCTGAAAGCATGAATAGAAGAGATGATTCTACCGGACTGTCAATTATTTGGAAGCCTGCACTCACAAACAAAAAAATCTCCACACCACAAGCCAGGCAAACACCTGGGCATAAACAGATCCCCCCTGATACCTCCAGCTCAAACACACTCCAACCAGGCACCCAGATGAAACCTAGCTTCCTTACAAATGATAGCCATCCATTTACTCGGAGCCAAGCTGCACTAAAAGCCTCCAATACAGGAACACAATGTTGCCAGCCAATCAAGAGCAAAAAAGCCACAAAACAGGCAGAAGATATTAGAAACACCAATCAAGCAGAACACAGCAAACTCCAAGACCAATAAACACAGACCAAGACTCCCAACCAATCAGGATGAAGAAAAAACCATTCTGGCACTGCAGTAGGCTAGCCCCAGATTTAAAACTGAAACGGCTGTGAAAGTCTGACTCACAGACGAACACAATTCAGAAGCCTGATGACGGCAGTTGAGATTCTGCCGAAATGTTGCTACAACTTCAAAAGCACAACTATAATGATGTGGGAAAATACCCGAACAAAGTTGAATACCATATATGAAATGTAAGTATCTACATCCCATTATTTTTAATTTAGCAAATTCGATTCTAATAAGATAAATGAAGATCACCATTTTTATCATCATTCATTGCATTATACAGTTTATGTAATCTTCACAGCAACAGCATAGTGTTGTTTGCATATACACCTGTTCACATTCATGTCTTCAACCACCAATTAATATTCCAAGTAATCCTTACGGAGGGAGAGGGAGAGGGAGAGAGAGAGGGAGAGCAAGACCTTTATTGTCATTTTTTACTGTGAGCACACTGGCCCACATTAAAAATGAAATTTTGTTCCTACTCTCAGAAGAAAGTATATGTCTACCCATACATGCATAACACACAAATACACATGTATGTAGTTATACATTAAATAACAACCACATCCTTACCTTATTTCTCAATTGAGCCATTTACTGGGAAAAATATTTTTTTCCTAAAGCAAATTCTAACTAAATAGCATTCATATTCATTTTTCCTCCCCAAATAGAAATACCACTTAAAAAAAAAATCCATACTTGTTTTTCCAATGATGATTAGTGCGTTCCCTTCCTTCTTTCTTAAGGCAGGTAACACTCCTTTGCATTTGGCCTGCCAAAACAATCATTCTGAAAGTGTGCGAGTTCTATTGCTTGGAGGCTCTCGGACTGATATCAAAAACAACGTGAGTATTATCAAATATACTGTGTTTCTTAAAAAAATAAATGCTATTAAACCAAATGTATTGACTGTTTTGAATATTCAGATACAGATGTTTCAGAATCCTCATTGAGTCTCTACGTTGTGATCCGTTCATTGTTTCATTATCTGTATAACTGCAATTAAGTTGGTATTAGACATGAGTCATTTAAATATGCATTTAAGATTTTAGTGGAGCCATTCCAAAAGAACATATCCCAATTATGAGCTTATTCTCTTGGAACGAGCGTCACAAATGAATCATCAATTGAATGGAGTCAAATAACACATTTTTCAGTTATGGGTTGGGTGAAAATTTAAAGTTCTGCTATGGTACGCTGAGCATAAAAGCATCAATAAAGGAGAGTATTTGTAAGAAAACAACCAAGCTCAGAGAACACCAGGGATCCCTCATAAAAGGAGCATTAAGGTGTCAGGTGGCTTGATTGTGATTAGTAAAATATAAGCAAGTATGCTATAATAAGAGCCCAGCTATCTAGTTATTGACATCTGAGGATAAGAACTCTCAATTCCCGTCCTTGTCATAAGCTGAATAATATAGTGCTCAATATTTTGTGCATGTTGGTTTAGAGCCTTCCAGGGAATGTATAAGTTGCTTTAAGATGGGACATCTCATTAGCTGAAGCTTTCTTTTTTGAACTGGATTTGCTTAGCTCCTCCCCTTTATTTTTAGGCAGGAGACACCTGTCTGCATGTTGCTGCTCGTTACAATCACTTACCCATCATTAGGTTGCTCCTCACTGCTTTCTGTTCCGTCCATGAAAAGAATCAGGTCAGTGCATGCACTTTAATGCCCATGTTTCATTTGCTGTTGGCTTTTCACGTGTATTCTGATACTCAGGACTGGGATAGAGGTTGTAGTACTCTGGATCTCATAGAAAGCAGAGGTGGTATTCAGCAGGTTCTGACCAGTTTTGGAGAACTGGTAGTGGAAATTTTGAGTGGTTTGGAGAACTGGTGGTAACCTTCCCCCAAGAGTGGGGTGGGAATGGAGATTTTACAGTATCCTTCCCCGCCACGCCTGCCACACCACGCCCAAGAACTGATAGTAAAAAAATTTTGAATCCCACTTTTTGAATCCCAAGAACCAAGCCATGCCCACAGAACCGATAGTAAAAATTTTTTGAATCCCACTACTGATAGAAAGCAATTAAAGTAAGTATTTATTAGGAACTTATTGTTATGTCCAAGATATTCTTTTGGTGTTCAGAATGGCCTTGACAAAATTGGGCATCTTCTCTTGGCTACACTGGAAGTTTGTAATGGCACTTATACTTTAAAATGAACTTTTTGGTCATGTAAAATAAACAAACGACGGCACAGTAATAATTCAACTCTATGGAGTCTGCAGACTTTGAATGCAGTAGAAAAAAAACCTGACTTAGATTTCATAACCAAATAATAGGAAGGTCTGTGGTTTGGTAGATCCCCCCAATTTACATACATTTTTGTAATTTGCATTGTATGAACATTTACATAAAACATACTAACCTTAAAGGAATTTGTTTTATACAATATATTTTATTAATATTATTCACCAGTGTACGGTATATTTTATGAATATTATGTGTAAATGTAATACCATTAACAGGTACTCCTTCCCAGCTGATCTATGATATCAGGATTTTACTGTAGGGATTTCAAATAATTAGAAAATAACCCAATAATTTGGATTATTTCCAGTCATGCAGTTTTACTTACAAAGTACAAAGTTATTAGGTATAATTCTGGCTATTATGTACAATTCGTGCCGCAACATTTTCTTTTGTGAGAATGTTATAGCAACAAAACCAAACATGTGAAAATAATCGCTCTGCCAAGATGTAATAAATTTCACTGACTATGGGATCCCTTTGGCTGATATTTTCATGTATTACAGTGTTACCCTGGGGCTGTAGGATTATTGTAACAGATCATATCTATGTCATTGGGCACTGCACAGTGGATTCCACTCTCTTCTGCTCCTATGAAAAATGCCCTGGTGGAACATTGTCAGGTACAATGAAAAACAGAGAAAGAAAGCAGCAAATTCTTATCCAGAGCCTATGAATGCTCACGTGATATTGCCAAGCAATACATTTTTAGAAATCAATCTGAATGGCTGTGGCAACTGTTTGGACTTTGGGGAATATAGCAAAAGCCCCAACTGGAGTCCAAGGTGATATTGAGCAAACTGAATGTTTAAAAGGTTTTCCAATAAGTTTTGATTGCAGTTTCCACTTGTTGCAGTCATTTATTGGTTGCTAAAATGTGGTAGGCCTAAAAGCTGGCATAGAGAAGAGTCTGCTTTTATTTCTCTCTCCCTCTCTCTCCCTCCCTCTCTCTCCCCTCCCTTTCTCTGTCTCACACACACACAGAAAGAGAGAGAGGGAGAGAGATGAATGAGAGAGAGAGAGATGGAGAGATGGAGGCAGGGAGGGACGGACAGACGGACAGTCCGACAGTCTGACAGACCAGGGCTGCATGTGAAAATCAAGATCATGATGAACAGGGCATTCTGATTTTGTAACTTTTAGGCTGGAGATACAGCTCTTCACGTCGCTGCTGCATTGAATCATAAGAAAGTGGCAAAATTGCTCTTGGAAGCTGGAGCTGATGGGACAGTAGTTAACAATGTAAGTGTGGAAGTTTTTTGTGTGTTACTGTTCTATTTCTTTTAAATACTGATTGAAATGTTGCTATGGGCAACAGGAAGACTATGGGCACCTAATAAGGTCATACAGGTAGTCATTGACTTACAACATTGACTTTAATGACCATTTGAAGTTACAACATCATTGGGGAAAAAGTGTTTTTGGGGAAAAACTGTTTTCCACACTTGCAACATTACTGCATCCCCCATGGTCATGTGATCAAACTTTGGATCCTTGGGAACTGACTCATACTTAAGAATGGAAGCAGTGACCAGAGGTCATGTGATCCCCTTTTGCGACCTTTTGACAAGCAAAGTCAGTGGGGAAGCCAGATTCACTTAACAACCATGGTATTAATTTAACATCTGCAATGATTCACTTAACAACTGTGGCGAGAAAGGTTGCAAAATGGGAGAAATAACAAATATCTCGCTTAGCAATAGAAAATTTGGGCTCAAGTGTAGTCATACGTCGAGGACTACATGTACTGCAGGCTCATAAATTAGGATAAGTGTTATAAATATAATCACCGTAGCTGGCAGCTCCTGGTTGATTTTGGCTAATCTTGATAAGCTAAGCAGAGTCAGAAAAGGGTAACAAAAAATCCCAAGCCTTTCTCAAGACTAGACTAAACTGGGGAATTCAAAAAAAAAAAGCCAAACCTGGTATCTATCCATCACTTTCACTTTAAGCGATGGATCACCTGTTTAAAAAATTGTCCAGGCTTTCTGAACTTCTTAATGGTTTTGGAGGAACATAAACCAACCTTCTATTACAGGCTGGCCAGACGCCCCTAGAAGTTGCCCGGGAACACAACAATCCTGAAGTTGCTCTTCTACTTACTAAAGCCCCTCAGGTACATCACGCACCATGGCTGAATTGGAAACTTAATTTCACAAAAATACTTGGAAGTAAATGTTTCTTATAAAAATGTAATGATGAGTACTAGATCTTGTTGACCTATTACCTGAATTTGGGTTTGATTTGTATTCACTCTCTGACCCAGATTCATTGAAAGGGCCTTAATAGACATAACTAACTCAATAGTCAAATGGATCTACTTTTAATCAGGACCAGAGTAAGATCTGGACCCAGCTTAAACTGACATACAGAGAAATCAATTCTAAATATTGTGTTGCTGTGTATGTGTATTTAATGCAGAGCCTAGCTTACATTCTCCATCTTGCTCCATAGCCATTTATGTAACTGGTTGAACATTGCATTCTCCATGCAGTCCATTTTCCTTGTTTACTTCTACTTTTAATAAACAACAGAGTTTAACCTTATTACAGGTAGTCCTTGGCTTAAAAACAGGTCGCTTAGTGACCGTTTGAAGTTACAATGGACCTCCCTGGGACTACTTACAACCTGGATTCACATGGTAGCACTTGACAGCTGAGCTGCATTTAAAGCTGTTTGCAGGGTCCCACTGTCACACCTGACCATGTTTTAATATGTTTCTGCCGAAATCCAGTATTTACTCCTAACTTTCAGACGTATTCAGAAGTATTTCAATATTTACTTCTGATTTTCAGCAAAACTGCACCCACAGAAAGTTAATTGGTTTGCTTAACAACCACTGCATTTGTTTAATGATGGTGGTGATTAATTTAAGGACCACTGAAAAAAAAAGGTAGTAAAATCAGGTCAGTTATGTAGATCATCTGATCTACAACCATCATGAGTTCCAGACATGCTGGACAGTCTTGAGGAATGCCTGTAATAAAACGATAATGGATTGGATTCAAACTTGATGACAGAAACCTTGTTTCCTCAAAAATATGACCTACCCTGAAAATAAGTCCTAGCTTGATTTTTATATGTGCTCCCAATATAAGCCCTACCCCCAATATAGGTCCTGATTAAGATCCCGCCCACTCCAGAGCGCACAGGTAAAAATTAAGCTAGAGTGGGGATGGGGGTGGAGCTGTCCTACTACTTATCTTTGGACAGTTGTAGCCAGGCCTCGTACACCATGACACCTGCCTTGCCGGCCCATTTCTTCTGCAGCCAGCAAGGCTGGCAAGGCTTTCCTGAAGACCTCTCTAGCTGATAACAAAGCTTCAGGAAAGCCTTGCCGGCTGCAGAAGAAAAAATTCCTGAAGGCCTCTGACAGTGAAAAGGAGGCTGGGGGGGCGACATGCACAAGTGAGGTTAGTCAGTGGAGGAGATCCCCTGAAAATAAGACCTGGTTCCTTTTTTTGGTGGCAAAAAAAAATGTAAGACAGGGTCTTATTTTCGAGGAAACATGGTAAATGACTAATTGATTAGGTGAGGTATTAAAATTCAATAGGATTTAATTTGGCTGTAGTCGTCTTAAGTTAGTTTAGGTTTAGTGAGTCTTTAAAGCGTAACTAACTTTGGTTCTAGTTCTGCCATTCATGAAAACTTTGCTGAATCTAGATTTCACACTTTAATCGTGGAAGGAGCCTGAGGAAGAAAAGGGAGAGACTTAAAGAGGAAAGACGTGCTCAATCCGTGCCACGTGACGAAGTGGTGCAAAGCAAGGTACAGCTACTTATGTGTATTTAGGAGGGAAGGAAAGCAGTACAAGAACTGAAAGACTCCACTTGCTGAAACTATATGAACTTGCTATGGGTGTGTCTGTTGTGTCATAAGCACCTGGAACCAACTGTTAGTACTTATAAAGGTGAGCTTGAGTGCTGCCTCTCGTTGCTGGTGCTCTGCCTGGAATTTGTGCAGTACCAGGATCAGGGCCAGCCATAAAACTTGAAAGGAAAAATGGAGGTCCATTTTGTTCATGCCTGGATGTGCTTGTATTTGGAACAGGACAGTGCTTCTGCTGCTGAAGACACCCACAGCAGCGATCCTGCTCAGGGGAGAGGTGACTTGAAAAATGAAAGCCAATTGCCTTTGTCAGAGCAAAGAGAGAAGAAGGGTAAAAAGAAGAAACCAGGAGAAAAGGTATTAAAGTGTGGACCTCAACCCAGAGACAAAGATTTTTTGATGGCGGCAGTGTGTTTTTCGCCTTCTATCAACAGTGTGCTGCTTTCCTATGCTTTTGTTAGTCTTTGCCAAAAGCATTCAATCCTACTAGACTTGACCATAGTTTTATATTTCTCAAAAATATATCTAGTAGTCCAAATCAGTGTAAAAAGGTTTATGAGATGTGAAGAGCATTTAGGAGGCTGTATAGCAGGGGTGTTTCATTGAGGGCCACATCAGGGTTGTGTTTGTTCTTAGGGGGCTGGGTGGACATGGCCAGTTTGACATCACTCGTGTCAGGAGTGCCTGTGGTGGCCTGAGCACTCTGCCAGCAAAAATGGAGGTCAGGAGGACCGCCCTCCTGAGCTCCATTTTCACTGGCCAGTTTCCAGATCTAAGCAACCCATGGGCTGGATGCAGCCCACGGGGCCTGGGTTTGATGCCCCTGCTATATAGGCACAAGTTGGTCAGCTAACAATTATTTCAAACACATTTTTCCAAATCAAAGAAAATACATTGCAAATAGAAATAAAGGTTTGCTGGTAATTAGGTCAAATTTAATTCATTCATTTACTTTAATTAAAATAGCTCAATATTATGAAGACCTTTTCAGCAGCTGAGGGGAGGAAGGAAGGACAGGATTGATAATACATCAGCCTTGTCTCTTCATTATGATAAATCAATAGATGTATTTGTACCTATTATGGACAATATTAGGAAGAATACTAAATGATATTCTATGTGTTACTTCTAACTTAATTGAAAATACAGGATATATAAATTTGGATGCAGGCTGTGAATTAAGGTTGTGCAAATGCAGTTGGTATTTGGGATGATCCAGCTCCAAATTAAGTCAGATATAATTTGGAAATTTTGCTTTATAGAAAGAACAAAGCAGAGCTGTTTTGTTTCATGCTGAGAATGAAATATGGTTGTTTTAGACAGAAATAGTTTGGCAGGTGTGTTTGTGACAGCAAGAATGGGGGGAACGCCAAGAACAGCAGTGGTAGTGACAGAGAAGCTGGAGAGGAAGAAGGAAGGGAAGATGCTGATGAAGTTGAAGCGATCAGGTGGGTTGATGGGAGATTTCATGCTGAGACCTTGGTGATGGAAATTAAGGGATGAGGCAAAGGAACCTCTGAGATGAATCACATGGTGGTAGTATATGTTGTCTTAAAAATAACTCCATCCGGAATCCAGAACCACCAAAACATTCTGGGTTTAGTTTTGGCTGTGAACTCTAGATTCAGACCAAAACATATTTTCTGTTTTGTTGGACTCCTTCTGAGAGTCAACTGAGATCATGATGAGCAGAGAATGTTTTAAAATGTAGCTAACAAAAGTAAAAAAAAGTGTTTTTTTTTTTTAAAAAGAGCCCAATTGTTTTGTTTGCTGATAAAAATGCTGTTTCTTCCTTCCCTTAAAAATTAGGTATTGGCACTTTCCGATCCTTTGCCCTCAGCGGATCAGCAGATACTGCCTGGTCCACAGCAAAACCTGACAAAACGCAGAAGCAAGCATCGCTGTGCATCTCCACCGCCACCCCATGAATTCAGGGCCTATCAATTATATACTCTGTACCGTGGAAAGAATGGAAAAATCATGCAGGTATTAATCTAGAAGCAGAGTATTGCTTGGGATAGTGAAGGGGTAAAAAATTTTCAAGGACGTTCTGTAACTTATAGGAGACATTATATTTGTGCTTTAAGAAGATGGCTTGATCAGGAGAATATGAATGTGCCTTCATGATTGAATTATTTTGCTTCCTGAATTGTTTCTTGGTAGTAAGCACAATAGCAATAGCACTTAGACCTATATACCGCTTCACAGTGCTTTACAGCCCTCTCTAAGCAGCTTACAGAGTCAGACTATTGCCCCCAACAATCTGGGTCCTCATTTTACCGACCTCAGAAGGATAGAAGGCTGAGTCAACCCTGAAGCCCCACAATGCTTCCTTAAGAATTAGAAACTGAGGGTACTTATTTTGGAATCTACTTTTTAACTTTGATTGGAGGTAGAACTTTGGAACAATGAAGTAAGTAAGCAACATAAGTTTGTAATCCCAGTAAGAATCCTTAATACTTTCTGATTCTAGGTTTCTTTTTTAAGTTCTTGTTTTTTGAGGGTAAAAGAACAGTTTTGCTGGCCTTCTTTAAACAAGGCATAATATAGATCAGTACTTACAAATGCATGGATTTCACCTCCCAGAAGCCCACATGTCTGGAAGACACCAGCGTTGAGAACATCAGGGCTAGATCCCAAGTGTTACTATTAAGTACATAGATATTTTATCATATATATCATGTATTTCTAAAACAAATTCATTTTTACACTTTTGTATCAATGGAATTATTTAAACGGTTAGCTGTACTTTTGCATCTTCCAAACAATACAAGGGGTGAGAGAACAATGTGAACTCTATAGAAATATTCATAATCTTGCACTACTGTGGCCTATGGTTGATCTGAGGTTGATCTGAGTCCTTTTAATAAATAAAGAGATTTATATAGATGATGCCATAAAAGAATTTCAGTGTCATGTTTCAGTGTCTTTGCTATAAAAAGTTATATGAAGCCCCACAATAAAACATACTTAAGGGAATAATTCAGTCAGGTGTTCCAGTCAATGAGATGACCATCAAATATGAGTTTGAGGTCCTTCCCCTGCAAAAACTAATGCATGTTGACTACAGAATAACAGGGTTGGAAGGCCCCTTGGAGATCTTCTAGTCCAACCTTCTGCTCAGGCAGGAAACCCTGCATCATTTCAGACAAATGGTTGACCAATTTCTTTTTAAAAACGTGCAATGTTGGAGCATTCACTATTTCTGGAGGCAAGTTGTTTCCACTGATTAATTGATTCTGCGTCTCATGTAATGGACCTTAGAAAAAGGGCTGTCAATATTCACAAAGTTACCAAACCATTGTGTAACAAAGTCATTCCTTCTAGGAATGGTTATCCAATAAAAATAAACCTAAGAATAAAGCATGCAACACTCCAAAACAGAACAAACATGAAGAAATGGCTAAGTTCCGAAGGGTTCACAAACTTCATCATACCATTGTACCACATTGTTTCTTTTTATTTCTTGTGTTATAAATGGCAGAAATGTAAAATATAAACTTGGAAATCATTTTGGCTGGGAATTGTAGTCCAAATTTATTTTTAAACTTATCAAACATGTTTCCTTTTCTCATTAATTTGCTTTCAGTAGGCCCCAATAGAGTGCTATCTTATGTGATGGTCTTTGCTATATTAGCAAAATATGTTTGTTCAGAGAAAGATGTTTATGTTTATGTGTATGTGGTCATTTCCGGTAGGCACCTATAAATGGATGTCGTTGTGAACCTCTAATACATAAAGTGGAGAACCAGCTGGTAGCTGCCATGGAAGAAATAAAAGCTGAATTAGTACAAGTGCAAGATAAGATGAACAGCAAATTAGGACAGATGGAAAATAAAACACAACATCAGGTAAGGAAGAATTAAGGGATGCAATGTGTCTCAAAATGTGGGGTTTATGAGGAAAACAGATGCAGCAAAATTCACTTGGTTGACTATTATCATTGTGTGAAACACATGATATGATATGACAGCAAAGCTGTTTTATCTGATATGGTTGCCACAATGTGGAAATTATTTTCTGCTATCTTCGCTGAAGAAGCACCAGCAATAGGCAAGCCAATGTTTTATCTTCCTGTCTTATGTCTTAAAGCTCTCATTATTACACAGCACATTTAGAAAGATCACTGCTGGCTTCAGGATTTGGTGATCATAGTCTAAGGCTAGGCAACAGATTTCTTGATGTTAGGCCATAGCCACTAAACACTACCCAACTGATACTGGCCATGAGAGCCAAACCAATAAAGCAGGGGTGGGATTCTACTAGTTCACACCTATTCGCTAGAACCGGTTGTTAACATTCTAAGCAGTTCGGAGAACCAGTTGTTAGAAGAAATTACTGGCCTAATCCTGTAAGGAAGGCAGGAAGGAAACATTCTGGTGTTGCTTACAGAAACCACCTCTCTGTTAACCCTTATTATATTTTTGGCAGGACTAGACTTCCTGTCTCAGGAACCTCTCTGGAGTTTTTTTCCCCTCCTTGGTTGGTACTTTGCTTGTGTGGAGTGACCATTCAAAGTTACAATGACATTGAAAAAAGTGACTTATGACCATTTTTCACTTATGACTGTTGCAGCATCCCCACAGTCATGAGAGGCCAGGCGAGGAGATGCGTGCCTCGATGTGAGTGATATAGAGTTGGCCATGCCCAGCCAATAACATGACCACCAAGCCACATCCACCCAGTCACATGACCGCCAAGCCATGCCCACCACCTAAGCCACACCTACAGAACTGGTTGTTGAAAAATTTGAATCCCACCCCTGCAATAAAGGTAGTCATTGATACCAAGTCCATCATTTAACAACAATTGGAAGCTACAACAGTACTGAATTTTGCAACCAGTATCCACACTTACATCCTTTATAGCAGGCCTGTCCAACCCGCGGCCCAGGTCGCCTTGTAATGCGGCCTAGTGCCCACCCCAACCTTCGTGGCAGAGCCAGCGAGGAGGAGGAGGAGAGGTAGGCACGAGGTGGGCGAGCTTCCCCCCCCCCCGCAAAATTTGACCGGAAAATAAAACGAGATAAAAAAACTGTGATAAAAAAACCATGATAAAAAATAAATAATTTTTAATTAATAATTAATAATAAATAATAAAAACATCTCACTAACTTCATTTCCAAATAAATTTAATATGTTAACTATGTTTTCTATGGTTTTGTTTGGATGATCAGGTATCGTTACTTTTATTTTATGTGCGGCCCAAACCAAATTTTCATCTTCTAATGTGGCCCAGGGAAGGTGAAAGGTTGGACACCCCTGCTTTATAGTATCCCTCAGTCACATAATCACCATTACAGTCAATACACATTGTTCAATGCTGATCTGTTGGGGGCTTTTTTTCCCTTCCCTTTTAGAGTAGAGAGATTGTAGAGGAAGAGATTAGAAGAGAATAAGTAGGCACACAATGAGGAATACACTGGGCTGTTTGTAAGGTGTACTCACAGCTGCCAGCCCAGTGCATTGCTTTCAATATATATTCTTCATTGTGTGTTTGCTTGCTCTCTTTGAAATCACTTCCTTTATAATGAGTGTGAGTACACATGACTTTGGTAATACCCCCCAAGTCCTTCTGGAGAAATCAGTTTTTACTAGTTCTGGAAGGCCATTGCAATCCAAAGGGCGAGGCAAAATTGAAGGTGTGAAACTGGTTGGATTTAGTCTTGCCAGTTTTGAGTTGGATATCTAGAGTGCCAGGGTGAGCATTCCAAAGGCTGTGAGGGAGGAAGGGAGAAAGAAAGGAAAACATAGCTATGTTCACAGTTTTTTGCTTAATGAGTGTTTCACTTAGTGAGAAATCATAGTGGCAGAGCTGTCAGTTTCAATTGTAGTTGTTAAATGAGGACTACCTATATAAGACTTGCAAAGAAATTGGCCCAGTTCATACCTATGATAAAGCTAAGTTTTAAACAAAGCTTACTGAATAAACCAAGCTAGCTGGATTCACACATTTGGGCTAAAAAAAAAATCATATTATGGCTTAGCATGATGGGTAAACCCAGTTATATAAAAGAACGTCCCTATGTAAGGGATACTATCTGTAGTAGACATCCTCAATTATTGAATTGAAATTATTGAAAGAAAACAAATACATTCTTATTATTATTTTTATTTACTCTGTGGGTACATCTGTAGCTAAAATACATTTGAAACAGTTTTTACTGAAATAACTCTTTTTAGTCACATTACTTCACTGAAAGTGCGCTTTTCAGATTTATTGATCTAATTGCTTGAAGTACAAGATCTAGTAAATGAATGCAGCGATACCATTTCTGAATGAACCTTTTGGTTCCATCACAGCTCCGTGTTTTAGACAAATTAATGGCAGAGAGGCTGTCAGCAGAAAGGGTGGAGTGTCTTCATCGTCTTCAGCACACGGAGTTGGAAAGAAATGAAGGGGAAAAACGCCAGGTAGGTTACTGCATTTGTTGCAATGAACACACAATAAGCTTGTGCAGCTTTAGGGAAGAGGAACTTCAATAATAAGAGAAGCTGCCCTTTGTGACATGATAAAGCAGAGTTAGGTACATCCACTTAGACCAGTGGTATGGCTGCTTAGAGGTCATCTAGGCATATGTAATACATAGAATATTATTTCCTGGGAAACGATTCAAGGGTCTATTTTGCAAATTACTTGTGAAATCAATTATGTGAAATGAGGAGGAATTTATTAATAGTTCATATGGGAAATAATGAAAGGAATTACAAATTTTTGAAAGGAACAAAGCAATTCTGGTTATAGTGGAAACTTTTTATTCCAAGCATTCAGAGTTATCTTAGATTGCTGAAATCAAAGCATCTCAACATCATTTTTGATCATTTTTCTCAGTGTGTCTTTTCTTCTTGCTGTTGAAAAAGTATATTTATCATCAAACATTTTAATAAAATGCATTATATTCTTGATTATTAGGGATGGAATACACTTGTCTTCTAAAGATCGTCCTTGACTTAATGAAATGTAAATGGCAAAAATTAAAATAATTTTTATTTATTTTAAATAATTAAATAGAATTGTTAAATTGTCCCACAATGAGTTGTCTCACTGTGAGTTGTCTGTGGCGAGTTGTCCTGCGCCAAACTGCCCATGGTGAGTTGGCCGCGATGAGTTGGCTGCAGTGAGTTGGCTGTGGCAAGTTGTCCCATTCCCTCACCTTCTGTAGCTCTCCCAGAAGCTCTGGAGAGCATGTGGGAAAGGAGAGCAAGCCTATCTGCCCCTTTACCTCCCTAAAGGCTGCATGGTTCCATCCTAGGAGCAGACACCATTTTGGAAGGGGTCGAGGGGCCTGCTCTCCTTCCCCAACCCAGAATTAGGAGGACTTCTCCTTAGGAGAACTTCTCCTTACCTCATAACTAATTGCAGATTCCATGGACTCTTTTGTAGTCAATGTAACTCATTGTTATAAGTTGAAATGCCAAAGTTTTTATTTTGTTGAATATTTCAGCAAATATTTTTTATTCAAAAGTACATTGGTACAAAATATAAGAGTGGCTGAGAATTGAGAGAGATACTGATGCACTCTGATAGATGTGTGGATTCTTCTTGCAGCTGTCTTTGGTGGGTGAATTGAAAGCTTGGTGCCTGCTAAAAATTCAGAATCTAGAAATGAAGCTCTCTGGAGATTCTAGATCTTCGAGACCAAAATCCACTCTGTCCACATCTGAGTCTCTCTCAGAGACTTTGGATACAGAAAACCTTCACACTACAAATGACTGTAAAACAAGCCAAACCCCACCACAATCAAATGGATCCCATCATCATTCTGGCATTGTGAGCCTCTCAGAAGATACAGAACAGAGTAGAATGCCAATCACAGAGCAGAGCTTTGGAAAGCAGTATTTCGTGGTTCAGCAAGATAGCATATCAGGTATGTTTGTTTTCCTATTTCAGCGATTTTCAGTTGGATATCTATGTTAATCTGCTGCACCTGTAGTGTCAATCTAAATTTCAGTCTATTTTTTTTTGATACTAGGCAGCTTGCTTCTCTTCACTCTGGTACGATTAAAGCCTTCTTCACCACCATAGAAGAAAAACTGTGCTACTGTTAAGAGCAGGAGTCCACAATAATTTCAAGCCATGGCCATCATTCTGCAATTCTAATGTTGCAAGTGCCAATTCCTTAAAAAATTATAACCTTTTCAGTGTCATTGGGTGTCAAGCAGCCTAGAAATTGCATACATAAATATTCAAACAAGCAAGCAAGCAATTCAACATGTCACCAGTCTCCTAAGATCTCATTTGTTACAAATACACAGATTTCAAAAGATTTCAATCATTATTCCAATTATCTTTAATAAGACACAGGGAATTATTATTGCAGCAAGACAAATTCCTTGTGTGTCCAATCATACTTGGCCAATAAAGAATTCTTCTCTTCTCTTCTCTTCTCTTCTCTTCTCTTCTCTTCTCTTCTC